CGCAGAACCCGAAGTCAGAGAGTTTGACCTGTGGGGGGGGGGGTCAGAGAGGAGCGCATTTCCATGGGGGGGCACCCCACGCGGGCACCCCCAAGCCTGGCTCTGGGGGGTATTTTTAGAAGCTTCTTTCCAGCCCCTGCGAGCAGGCTTTTTTTTTTTTTTGAAAGCGACAAGAGGGAGACGGGACGTCGCCTCGCATTCACGCGTGGCTGAATTACGAACCCGATCCCAACGAAGCCGCCCCCCTCAGCAAGCCGTTTGCTGGGCTGGGCTTTTACCGCCGGGCCCTCCGTCCCGGAGATGAGCGGAGCCACATCTCTCGCCGAGACGCCAACGGGGCCAAGATTCCTGGTGCCGGTAGTTTGCTCTTTGGGACGCGAGGCGAGGAACCCTGAGAGCGCGCCAGTGCCAGAAGCCTCGGTGGGCCCTTCCGACACGGCCTGGGTGCAAAAAGTGAAGGCTGGCTGGCGATTTTATCCCCTCTGTTAACATGTAATTACTTTGGACCTTCCTTTGAGCGGGCGAAGAAGCATCCGAGATGCAAAAGCTGCTATCACCACAACGTTTGAAGGCGTGGGGAGAGCAGACGAAATCTTTGGGGAGGGTTTTGTCCCCAGACTGTTCTTTACTGCACAGCCACAAAGAAGAAAAAGAGGAGGAGGAGGAGGAGACTGGATTTATACCCCGCCCTTCACTACCCGAAGGTGTCTCAGAGCGGCTCACAAACTCCTTTCCCTTCCCCTGTGGGTAGGGGTGCGGCTGAGAGAGCTCTAACAGAAACTGCTCTTTTTCAAGGACAGCTCGTCAGAACTACGGCTTGCCCAAGGTCATCCAGCCAGGTGCAAGTGGAGGAGGAGAAGAAGAAGAGAAGAAGAGAAGAGAAGAGATTGGATTTATATCCCGCCCTTCACTACCCAAAGGAGTCTCAGAGCAGCTTACAAACTCCTTTCCCTTCCCCTCCCCACAACAGACACCCTGTGAAGTAGGTGGGGCTGAGAGAGCTCTGACGAAAACTGCTCTTTTTCAAGGACAGCTCTGATGGAACTGTGGCTTGCCCAAGATCATTATGCAGGTGCAAGTGGAGGAGTGGGGAATCAAACCCGGTTCTCCCAGATTAGAGTCCGTGCACTTCACCACCATACCAAACTGGCTCACAACAGAGCCTAGGGGCAAATTCAGGGCGCCTTTGGAATTTTCAAACAGCGTGGTATGCACAGCCAGAACATGGCTGCTGCAGGGGGTGGCGCCAGCCACAGACAGCTGCCGCGACTTCTCCTCAGTCACAGGGTGCGGATCCTTGTGCTGCGGTGGCAGCCGCTCCCAAAGCAATCTCTTTAAAAACCTGTAAAGCCAATCAGACGCCTTGCTGGGCAAAAGCCCCCCCAAACCCTACTCGGTTTCTAAAAACTCTCGGCCGGCGCCAAGAAAGGTTCAGTGGGCGCTGTGCTGCCCAGGAGCCCCATGTTGGGGATCCATGACCTGTGTGGCCACTGCAGGCGGCCCTCCTGTGTGGCGCTACAAACACAGGTGACTTCAGCCACAGAGGATGCAGGGAGCTTCCTAGCCAATGGACGGCTGGGCTAGTTCTTGGAGGAAACGATTCCAGTGGGGACGGCTGTGCGGCGGCAAAATTCAAAGGACTGTGGGGACGCCTGAAGGGCAAACGCCTTCTCATCCCAGCACTGGCTTTCATGGATTGGAACCCCGGTCATTTTTGGGAGACGACTCTCACCCCTTTGGAAACTGGAGCCTTCCCTCTACATCTCATTCCCCCCCACGCCCCACACCCCAGATCCAGGGCAGCAGCTGGGGACTCACCCGGCCGTCGTGCGTGAGCAGGATGGAGTCGCTCTTGATATCTCGATGGATCACTCCCTGGGCATGGAGGACGGCGAGTGCCTTCAGGACGGAGAGGCAGACGGCCGCGATCTGCTCTTCGTTCATTCTAGAAGAGGAGAGGAGAGGAGGAGGGGGAGAAGGAGGAGCAGACTGGATTTATACCCCGCCCTTCACTACCCAAGGGAGTCTCAGAGCGGGTTGCAATCTCCTCTCCCTTCCCCTCCCCACAACAGACACCCCCTGGGAGGCAGATGGGGCTGAGAGAGCTCTTTCGAGGACTGCCCTTGAGAGAACAGCTCCGAGAGAACTTGTGACCGACCCAAGGTTACACCAGCAGCTGCACGTGGAGGAAGAGATTGGATTTATACCCCATGGCCCTTCACTACCCAAAGGAGTCTCAGAGCGGCTGACAAACTCCTTTCCCTTCCCCTCCCCACAACAGACACCCTGTGGGGTAGGAGGGGCTGAGAGAGCTCTGACAGAATCTGCTCTTTTTCAAGGACAGCTCTTATCAGAACTACGGCTTGCCCAAGGTCATCCAGCAGGTGCAAGTGGAGGAGGAGTGGGGAACCGGTTCTCCCAGATTAGAGTTCGTGCACTTAACCACTACACCAACACCCCCCCAAAGGCCCTTATATCACTGCAAGCAGGTTCCCTGTTCCTTCCAGATGGCCGCAAACAGCACAGACAGTTGCAGAAGCCACCCTCGGAAGGGGACCAGGGGGGAGAGATGCAGCCGTCGTTCCGCTGAAAACCAGATCCTCAAACGGGCAGGCGAAAACTCAGGGATGCCGGCACGGAAGGTGTTTCCCTCCCGGGCCTGGCTCTTAATCATTACTGAGACTGGGTGGGGTGGGGGGGATGACGGGGCCCCGATCGCCTCCGCTCCGCACCTGGTGTGCGTGACGATGTCGGTCAAGGCGCCTCCTTCCAGGAACTCCATGACGACCCACAGCTCGTCGCCCACCAGGTAGCTGTTGTACATCTCCACCACGTTCTCGTGCTGATAGTCCCTCATGATCACCACCTGGAAGTGGGGGGGGGAGAGGGTGAGCGGAGCCGCCGAGCAAGAGGGGGCAGAGACCCAGCCTAAACGCAGTTTCGGAGACGGAGAGCCTTGAGGGGCCCCTAACTGGACGGAAAGGAGGGACACAGATGTCCCGAGGGAGGCCAGGCTAGCTGCCACCAGGGCCGGGGCCTTCTCGGTGGCGGCCCCTACCTGGTGGAACGGGCTCCCGGGGGGGATCAGGGACCAGGGCCCTGCGGGACCTCTCTCAATCCCGCAGGGCCTGCAAGATGGAGCTCTTCCGCCAGGCATTTAATCAGGGCCCCCCGACACCACTGTAGCGCCTGGCCCATGATTTTACCATCGATCAGCTGCCAGGAGAGCCGTTGAGCAGAAGAACATCTCATACTGTTGGAAATCCATTTGAAAGCATTCCACCTAACTGAGTTTTTAATCGCTGCCTGCACTTTGTATTGTATTGTTTTTAACTGTTGTGTTTTAATTGTGCATGTTTTATTCTGTATTTATGTGACTTGGAAGCCGCCGTGAGCCTGCTCTGCAGGGAGGGTGGGGTACAAATCTGACAATAAATAAATAAGTACATAAATTTAAACCAGGGGCCCCCAACGTGGTGCCCATCAACACCTTTCCTGGCGCCTCAGAAGGTGGACGGGGCCAGCTCTTGCCCGGAAGGGCTTCTGATTGGCCACCGGAGAGCTGATGGGATGTACAGATTTAAATGATGTTTCAGCAGCAGCTACCACCACGGTAGGTCTTACTCCCCCCACTCACTCCTCTTCCCCTATCCCATGCCTTTGGGCTTCCCCTGCGCACGTGTGCCTCTATCGCCCACTGCAGCCACCGTGGGGCGGCAGCGGGCCTCCTTCCTCGGGATCCCAAAGGGGGCTGAGGGCTTGGTAAGGCCGGGGAGCCAATGTTCCCTCTAAGCCGAGTTAGTGTGAGTTAGCTCACAGTTTTTTAGCCTCCGGCTCAACACATTTTTGTCTTTGCTCAGGAAGTTTGTTCCAGAGCAACCTAATGTATGCAGCAGCCAAAATGCTCGCTCACAGCTTGAATGCCAGTAGCTCACAAAGTAGAATTTTTGCTCACAAGACTCCACAGCTTAGAGGGAGCATTGCTGGGGACTCCTGTTTAAAATAAAAATTAGGTAAACAGAAGTTAATTCATCGGAGAAAGAGGTTTCTGGAAGCAAGCTGGAGGACCGGCACTGCCCAAAGCCCTGGCCTGGTGCATGTCGCCCGCCTCCTCTTGCTGAGAATGCTCCTGGGGCACCTCCCGCGGAGAGGATTGCTGGGCAGTCTCAAAGGCCGCTGGCAGAAAGAACCGCCTGAGAGCCAAAGGGCAGGGCTGCTCTCAGAGGAGAAATTCCGGATCTGCTCCCTTTCCTCCTCCTCTATCCCTGCCGCCTTCCAGCCAGTTCACGCGCAGGCAGCAGCCCCTTCCCCGGGCAAAGTGATAGCACGACACAGACATTTGGATGCCCTCCGGGGCAACTCAGCCACGGGGGCACGACACAGATGTCCGCTGGGAAGTCTCCCCAGCGCCCTTTCTGGCTGGCGGGACGAAGGGCTCCGTGGCTCCTTCCCCCTCCGTGGCCCCTTTCCACCTGCACAGGCTTTCACCAACAACACCCCATTTCTCCTAAGCGTGGACACATCCCACTTCCTTCCCCCCATCACACCAAGAAGGAATTCCTTTTAGATCAGCTTCCAAAGTATTAGTGGCGGCGGTGGAGGAGGAGGAGGAGGAGGAGATTGGATTTATACCCCGCCCTACACTACCAGAAGGAGTCTCAGAGGGGCTTACAAACTCCTTTCCCTTCCCCTCCCCACAACAGACACCCTTGGAGGTGCGTGGGGCTGAGAGAGCCCTTTTGAGGACTGCCCTTGAGAGAACTGCTCTTAGAGAACCTGTGACTGACCCAGGGGCCACACTGGCAGCTGTGTGTGTGGAGGAGGAGGAGGAGACGAAAAGATAGGATTTATACTCCGCCCTACACTACCAGAAGGAATCTCAGAGGGGCTTACAACTGCCTTTCCCTTCCCCTCCCCGCAAGAAACACCCTGTGAGCAGTGTTCCCTCTAAGCTGAGTTATTGTGTGAGCTAGCGCACAGTTTTTTAGACTCCGGCTCACACATTTTTGGTCTTCGCTTGGAAAGGAGGGCTCCAGAGCAAACTGATTTATGCGGCAGCCAAATCGCTCGCTCACAACTTTGATGCCGGTAGATCACAAAGTTGAACTTTTGCTCGCAAGACTCCACAGCTTAGAGGGAGCATTGCTTGCAGGACTCCGCAGCTTAGAGGGAGCACTGCCTGTGAGGTCGGTGGGGCTGAGAGAGCTCTCCCGAGAACTGCCCTTGAGAGATCAGCTCCGAGGGGACTTGTGACTGACCCAAGGTCACAACGGCAGCTGCATGTGGAGGAGCAAGGAATCAAACCCGGTTCTCCCCGATTAGAGTCCCTGGCTCCTCACCACTACGCCGCGCTGGCTCTCAAAGTGACTCAATGCCTAGCCGGGGACAGAAAGCGCCCCTCAATCCAGAAGGGACCGTGCTCCATGTGGGGGGCAGCAAGACTAGAAAGAGAAGGAGGGGGGCAGGCGCACGAGTGAGGGCCCCAGAGGGGGACGGCTCCCCCCCCCCACCGCCCGCCCACCTCGTTGAAGAGCAGCTCCCGCCGCTGCTGCTTCCGCAGGTCCATCTTCTTGACGGCCACCAGCTTCCCGGAGCTCTTGACGGTGGCGATGCAGACGATGCCTGTGGAGCCCTCTCCGATCTTGATGAAGTTGTCCAGGTAGCTCCGGGGGTCGCCGGGGTCCACCACCATCTGCAGGGCGGCCCGGAACTGCTCGTGTGAGACGCGCTGGGGCTCGCGTTGCGGGGAGCGGGGCTGCTGCTGCTGCGGTTGCTGCGGGGCCGGCGGGGGAGGGAGCGGGGGCTGGTGTGGCGGGGGCGGGGGGGGGGGGGGGGGGGGGGGGGGGGGGGGGGGGGGGGGGGGGGGGGGGGGGGGGGGGGGGGGGG